AAGACTTACAGAAAATACTTGAACTGAACATTCTGTGCACCCACGTGGGCCAATCACGCCTTGACGACGTGCACAAGGTTCAAAGATCACACAATTCGCTAAATTAAATGGGGAATTCCCAGATCCCTACAGTAGTAAACCGTCTTCATCTCATTGGAGGAGATACTACCGAGCAACTCCTTAGTCAATCTCCTAACCAATTGCAGTGTTGGTCATGAATCTCAGACACCACGGTACGGTAAGTGGGGCGAGAAATCTTTACTTCGGTTTGGCTGACAATCCAGTCAACATTGTTGTTTCCCCTGTAGCACTCTATCCTCCCTATCCGTTAGTCAGCTGGCCGTGTGCATTTCTTTAATGCAATCCTGTATGGGAAAAGTTTGGGATAGTGTTTGAAAGCGGACCACCACTACCTACCTCAAAGAACTCCAGATTTGAATATAATCAGTGCTACAGTTATAGAGGTTAGGAATGCATGTAAGTTAAAGTTTTTACATGTAATTACATCTTAATTATTAAGCTTCTTGCAAGTTGAATTTAAATAAAATCTGGTACTCCGAGTTCTTTAAATTCACATGAACATAACAATTACAATTCTCCACACTACAGTCACTGTTGCTATACTTCCGTGATCATGGGCAAACTTTTCATAAGAGACGGCTTGCAACAATTCACTGTTCTCAATGTATAAGGAGGGCACAAAGAACCAGTCCATTCCAGAGATGGTGGTGGCTATGCCAAAGCTTGCCCCAAATCGCAATTAAGGTATAGAAACAGTGTCTTTAGTCTGGGGAATTCAAATTGTTATGTTTATGGGCAACTTCATATAATCAGTGTACCAGAAGAAGTCAGGTATAAATACTTTTCTATATAGCACCCTCGTGTTCAGCGGGTTAACACTCCAACTGTATGGCTAAACAGTAGAGTTAAGGTTATGTTTGTATTGCGAGTTCCAGACTTTCCATTAATCATTTTTACCGTTATACAAATAGGCCTACTGGTCTGTCACCCTCATGTTCCGGGGGCTAGCACTCCAACCGTACGTAAACAGTGGAGACATTGATTGTGATTTTATTCACGAAGCACTTAAAGGTGGTGTACACCATTGGTAAATTACCAAAAATCGGATTTCCGTTTAATCCTGAAATATCTTACTTGAAAGAAAGTAC